CCAACCCGTCACAGGTGGGATTCTTTTGTATGATCTAGGAGGAGAGAGAGAGAGACTTCAATTAATTTCTTTAAACTATATAAATTAAGAAGAAAGGTATTCAGGAAAGGAGTGTCTGTTCTGCAGTGGACTGATGTTTCTTCTCTTTTAAAGAAGCATCTTTAAGAACTTTCAAGTGTGAATAGCAGCACAGTAAATAGATAAAAACAGTAGTCATGTAAAATATTTTGAAACCCCAGAATTCTTGTTAGGCAAGTTGAAAGAAACTAGTCATGATAAAAGCTGTTAGGAAAAACACATTCTCTAATGTCTAACTCTTTGGGGGGGAAATCGCCAACTGTTTCATTACCAGTCATGGAGATCTACCAGTGTATTAGTATACATGGGATACTAGCATTTTTACCTCTAGTCACCACAATGATAAAAGTGGCGTTGCTCATCTCACCTAGTGTTCCTGTTGTTGCTGCTAACAGTGGAGTTGCACTTTTGGGAGCATGCCACTGTGTTTGCAGTAATTTCCACCCTAAATTACCAGTTAGAAGCCTGTTTCAATACAATATAGTAAACAATGAAAAGTCGATACTCAAAACATTGTCATTACTGTTTCAAAGCAACAGTGATTGTGGGTACTCTGTATCAAAACAATTTTATTCTACATTGAAAAATACTTCGTATAAATATGCACCACAAGATGGTGCTATAATTTCTATTTACTGCACACAACAGACACCATCTCAGAGTAGTAGGAAATTTTTCTTCTCTCTAGATGAAACAATTTAAACAATTATTCTTTAGGATACTGGAGTAGTGGGTTGTGAGCCAGGGATATTTCCAAATAAACTTTAAAGTAAGTTGCCATCACCAGTGTAAAGCTTGCTTCCCAGGGAACCTGCAGCTTAAGTATACTGGAAAAAAATGGGAGTTTATTACAAGTGTATTCAGTCCTTAAGCTTTTCACTGAGTTTATGAAGCAACAACAGATTATTGTATGTTACTCAGTTTGGATATGTAAAATGAAATCAATCACATTTATGGAGGAACATATTCATAATTATTATTAAATCAAATCAATCATTTTTACAATGGAAGAACAAACAGATGCTCCATCTGAAAATTATACCATTAAAGTCTTGATATCTTCAGCTGTTGCAATGTCATTTTTTGATCTTTTCATGTGAATCAAAGGAATATGAATAGCTACAGCATGTTGTAACACTTTAAATACCCAGTAATTTAAAAAAGAAGGATGAAATCCCATCTCTCTACACAGCCCACACTGACACCTTTGATTTGACTATATCATGTTTATGGAAGTCTTACATCTACTTATGTCTCAAAAGAGAAATTTTATATAGTTTCAAATCATAAAAATGTTGTATGTCTTTGTACACTGGATGGTCTCCATCTGTGCTGCTGGTCTTAAAATGTGTTGGGTAATAGAGTACTAAAACACTCACCACATCTCTCATAGTCAAAGTCTGTGGACTTACTTACACATTTTAGTGTTTAGGATCCAAATGACCTTCACTTTGTCAGTGTTAATGGAAGCCATAATGTGTTGGGGTGCTTTCTGACTAAACCATGAAAATTTATAATTAAAAAAACAAAACAAAAAAGGTACACATTTACAATATGTGCATTTAAGTTTTCATTAAGTCTTATTGAACAGTACAGATGGCAAGATGGTATGTAAGAAAGTCTCTTGGGTGCAATATGCAAGTCCCAGCTGGAGTGTTTCCAACAGGATGTAAACCATGGTCCTCAAGCCTGCACTTTAAAAAACATATTACTTAGCACGCTGCCAACAAATGTCAACACAAAAATACACCGCTGTAATGACTTTAACTCATGCAATTTTCTATAGCAAAAGGTTAAAATTAATGTAATCATGACACAAAAGGTATTAGAAAACATTTATTCTTCAAGTAAAAATAAAAACAATTTTAAAACAATTATAGTCCTTAAAACTGATAATATAGCCAAAATAACTTTAAAATTGTACAAATTTACATAATAGTTTTGAGATCCAGAAGTCTAGACAGAAAATTGTCTACGATGTGTTACTTTGAATTTTTCAGCAATTCTGAAGTTTCTTCAATCCTAAAAATATTTTTAAAATTGGTTAAAACAAAGACTAAAACAAACATTTACTACTAATGAATGAAGCTAAAGTAACAAAGCAGCATTCCTGACTTTTTGTTTGTTTGTTTTTACACTGGTCAGGCTATTAGATTTGCTGTATTTGAGAGAGAGATTTAAAAAATATACATAGAGAAGGAACAAAACTCACAAAAATAAAGTTAATGGAGGAGATAATTGACACTTTGTATATCACAAATTAGCCTTAAAAAGGCTGTCACCATCAGAGAGCTTAGGTTTTTGCAAAGTGGCAGACAAGATTAATGACTTCAGCTTCCTGAAGTAACTCATTTATATGATACAGAAATCTTGTTGAATAGAAGTTGCACTATGATGATGCATTTCATTTTACTTCAGCAAGTGTAATGAAAGTTATTTCTACCTGTAAATTTTCATTACAAATCTTAGAACCAGCAGTAGATACTGCTTATTATTTTGGGTATCTTTATGTGATGCCTGGTCTGAAACTGGTCTAGCTCTTTTCATTTAAAATTTCACCTCAACGTTTGAACACAAGTTTTATGTAGTTCCAGTAAACTCTTATCAGAAGACAGATAATACTCCTATTAGTTGTCAACCAAATTCTAAACACTCTTTAATCTCTAGTTAATACCATTAAGAATGCATTATATTGCTTGTTACAAACCAAAACAGTGACTCATCCCACAAACACAGAACTGTAAGTGGATTTATTATCCAGTGGAGTCATAAGGAAATGCCACACCTGATGTAGAGACCTTTGAGGTTTGGAACACATATGCACATTCTATATATGTCTTAGTCCAGTACAATTCCCTACTGGGAAATGAATTCCTGCTGCCCTTTTCTATTACTTACATTTTACTTATCCTTTCCATTCTTTGTCTTGTTGTCTCCTGCAATTTAAAAGCAACATATTTAGGCAATCCTTCAAAGCCAACAATCTTCAGAAATGGACTTTTAACCTGGAGAATTCATGCAAAAAAATTACTTTAAGCACTGTTTACATATCAAAAGGATTTTTATGAGACAGACCTAGATGAAGTTTTGCATAGTTTTGCTGTTTTTTGCCAGTAGTATATACAACTAAAACTAATGCTTACTTGTTCTCTTGACCTTAGAAAGGAAATCAACTAAGCATTTGCCAGTTTTACTTACCTTTGAAATCTCTGTCAAACCATGATAATTAATGGTTACGGCTTTAGGAGATGGGTCTGTGGATAATAGTGAACTGTATCCAGACGACTGATGAAGAGACTCTGGCATCTCCTCCTTCCTCTCAATATCTGTGGAGAAATATTCATTTTTAGGTCACCTTTGCCTTTTTGCTCTCTTGCAGCAGGGTCAGCTATCGAACAGTTTGATTTACAGTATGTAATAACAGAAGAGAATGCATTGTTTAGAAAGAAAAAGGCTACTGGTAAAGGTCCAAGATGGGTTTCTCATATTCTTTTAAAATAACATGAACAGAGTATGCTCAGTATGATGCAGACAAAAAAGAAATTACAACAAAGATTATCCAGGAATGTTGCATTTGTCATGATTACAGTCAATTGAAACACTTAGGCAAGTACAATTACTGGGCAAAACATTCAATAATTTCAGACAGCTCACATTTGTTTTCTTACTATAAACCACTTCTCTTATACAGCTGTGGGATCTTTTAAACTTTAAAAAAAAGTTTAAGCAATATAGTAATTATCTTTGTAAACATATTTTACTATAACATGAAAAGCTTTTCCAAATATGTTTTTAATTCACTAAGTGATTTACAGTATAAACAGCTGAAATACAAACAAAAATGTAGTCAGTTTCCAATAATCTAGGGCTAGTATTCATTCAACAGAATCAGGGATTAAACATTTGTATAGCAGTAAGTGCCAGTTTCAATAGGAGCAGAGCTAGGCCAACATATCAAACGCATTAGAAAATCCCTACCCTTTGTATCAGGAAAAGCTTGATGCTATCCTAGCATTTTTTTTTAAAAATAACGATTTTAAAAACCTGTCTTCCTGAGGAAAGCAAAAATTCCCATTTAAAAAAGGTAGGGTTTGGTTTTTTGGCTTTGTTTTTTAATTAAAGCTACAGTCTATGGATCCAGGTTACAAGTCCTGAGTCTGCATTCAGAAAATAACATTGTAAACCGCACTATTTAGCAATGGATCTCAAAACCTCCAGATGGCAGCTGATCTATATCATGTGATAAGATAAATCAATTCAAAACTTATATAGCCCACTAACACAAATTTATGTACGGTATTTTGACAAAACAATTGTGGGTGTTAGAGCAAGCTTGATATGTAGGACAATCAAGAAAAATATTACAGAGGTAAATGATGTATAAGATTTAGTTTGTCACTTCACTTACCAGGCATCACAGTCAGAGAGAATCTTATCTTTACTCTGCTGTCTACAAAAATTATGTTAATTAAGTAAGTCTATGACACATTAAGAATAAGATTTTGACTTGAGAAAGATTTTAAACTACAGACAGTACCATAAACATGCTGGGTAATATATATTCCTGCACAGAACACTGTAAGGGGAAGTTAAGGTTGTAGGCACATCTCAGTGCTTTAAGTGTATATTACCAGAGAAGATCAAATGGGAGAATTAGGAAACTAAGGATGGATCAGACTTGGGGGAGTGGCAAGTCAAGCCACAGTTTGAGGAAGAAGGGAGAGGCAATATGGATGAAGTCTAAGGAAGAGAGTGAGTTAAAAATTTGATTCAGTTTTCCACATCTGTACCTCTACTTCCCTGGCCTCAGAGATGGGGCTGTCCAGAGGGGGTTATTTACCTGACAAGATACTTAGTGTGATTTTCTCCTGGGTCCCTTTGTACTTAGGAAATAGTTAGCTTCAAAAGCTTGCTGTGTACACCTTCAGAAATTTACTTGGCCACTACCCACTACTTTTACTAGTATTTTACAGTTTGTTAAAGGGAAAAAAAAAAAGGATAATCTGTCTTTGAATATCAACTAAAAAAAAAATCACATTTGTGCCTCAGGCCTTTTTTTGAGCTTACTATAAACAAAAATAAAGAAATTCTCTAATAATTAATTATCTTTGTGAGGATAGACACAGCAACACAGGAGAGGGGAGAAAACACAACACATTCTATAAAATAGGAAATGTACATAAAAATCCCAAAACTAACAGGGTGATTTCAGGGGCTGGCTCGTACTTGAAACAGCCGAACTTGAAATTTAGTTAGTTTTGTTTGTTTGTTTTAAAGTTGACAGTGTCTATTTAAACAACTTAAAATCCTAACTGTGACACAATTTTATGCAAGGCTAGCATGCTTAAAAGAAAACCTTTTCAGTAAAGAGCATTGCAAACACTCACCAGGAGAAACTGGAGTCATATTCCTACTAGAGGTATGGTCTTCACTCATATTGTTAAATTCTGTAGATAAGTCACCCTGAAACAATAATTGTTTTTGCCATTTACAAAAAAAAAAATCTATAACTTAGCCATGAGTCTTATTTAAATGCCATCTGTGTACTGAGAATTATAATCAAATGGGTGAATATATGTATATATATGTACGGTACTGACCACATTTTTCTAGCATTATGGAAGTAGCTTTATGTGACTACTCCTATGAGTAAAGCATGCAAAATTTGACCCTTTATATTAGTATACCCATTTATATCGTAAGAAAAAATGGTCAATTCATTAAAGCATTTTGTCTTTTGAAATACCAACTTTGCTGTAAAAACTGACCCCAAAAGTTTCATAGTGGAATGCCTAACAATCCAGGTGTGATTGTTTGATCAGGCTGAGTGGTGTTTATTAAAACACACTGTACACCAACAGCTCTGAATGACTGACTACTGGCAGCTGCAAGTGCTCTTCTCCTCTGACTCTGAGGCTGCTGATTTGAGGTCTATTGCTGGATTTGGTTGTCTAATTTTAGATAATCAAGTTTGAAAATTTTGGCTAAAATACCCACTTGGATCATGATACAAATGGTGAAAAAAAAATGTTTTATACATTGTCAATATTAATGCTATATCTGCTTTCTCTGTTATAATGTGACCATTTTCTTCTTCTGGATTAATTTGCTAAGAAAATAAAAAGTTAGTTTTAGGGTTTTGCCTTGACCATCGAGAGTTACTGTTTTTCTTTTCAGAAACATGAACTTATGTTTGTCTAATTTAGGCCCGGATCTATGCAGATGGATGCCCCCACCCAGGGCCGGTGGAAGGATGTTTCGCGCCCTAGGCGAAACTTCTACCTTGCCTCCCCCCCCCCCCGCGGCAGCTCCCACCCCCCCCACCCTGAGGCAATCAGCTTAGGCACCGCAAGCCTGGGAGGAGGCGGGGCAGGGGTGAGCTGAGGCGGGGAGTTCCCCTGTGTGCCGCCCCCACCTCCTTGCTGCAGGTGGCCCTCCCTGCGCTCCACTGCCCCAGCTCCCTCCGCCTAAATGCTGGTGGTGACCGGGGCGGCCGAAGATCCGGCCACTGCGGTCGCTGCCGAAGAAAATGGCGCCCCCCAAATCTTAGTGCCGTAGGTGACTGCCTAGGTTGCCTAAATGGTTGCACCGGCCCTACCCCCACCCTTGTGAAACCCCTCTGGGACTAGAACTCTTTTCATTTCAATAATGCACCATATGAATTTATGGAGTAGGGTGAGTGCACATGTACAATGTACAGTCTCAGAGCCACATATATTCTAATACAAAAACTTACATTAAACAACATTATTTTGGTTACATGTCAATAACTCAAAAGTTAGCAAGTGCCAGATTTACTGCTGTCAATGCAACCTTAATTCTGCCTGCTAGCATCCATCGTGTATGCTAAATGATGTAGGGGTCCTGTAGAAAAATAGCATATGATCATGTAATTGAAGGCTGTATCATAAAGTGAAGGTACAAGGGGCAGAATTAAGGTTGCAGTGCCAACTTTTAACATAGATTTTTGTATGTAATTTCCTAGTTTGATTTAAAGGAAAAGTATAAAAAAACCCAAACAAAAATAAACCATGCCCTCCACCATTGTGAGTGATCAGCAAGGTTTGAACTCTGACATTCAGCACTATAACACAAATCTACCACTTGAGCTACTGGGCTAACTACATTAAGTAACAGCAGAAGGCTATTACACTGAGGGGGGCGGGGGTGAGGGTCCCAAGGGCATAGCCCTCAGCTCTCTTTCCTACCCCCTCCCCAGGCATTTGGGGACAGGCAAACAGTAATTACTGCCCTCAGAGTTGGGAGAAGTTTGGATTGGCTTCCTCTCCCCAACCCCTTCCACTGCAGCTGCCTTGAGAGCTCCAGGTATCCTCAGTGCAATGTGTGTCGCTACTGCTTTGACAGTGGTGTGGGCCTGGTCTTAGAATGTACATATTATTTTGAGATTTCAGAGCTTCTCAAAAGAAGGTTGCAAGAACCAGCTCCTTCTATGCTGAAAAATAGGCAACCATGGTGCACACAAACTAAATCAAGCTTGTTTTTGTATACTCCGCTCTTACAACAATAGTCTAGACTAAAAAGAAACACAATCCGGTTAGATGTTTTAAAAAAATGGTACTACTGTTAAAATATTTAAGTGGCAGATAAATAACAGGCTAGTCTAATCCACAGTACAGTGCAAAATAATGAATATTTATTTTCATAGATTCATAGATTCTAGGACTGGAAGACACCTTGAGAGGTCATCTAGTCCAGTCCCCTGCCCGCATGGCAGGACCAAATACT